AATTTATTTATTATTCCTAATTAAATTAAATGAGGGGTGTATGCCAACTTCTCTGCTCATCTCTACGGAAACCCATTCTTGAAATATTCCACAATGTTTTTATGTTTTTGTTTATTTAGACTGTGCATATTCATGTAAATACACTTTTTGTAATTGTAGCTATGTAGTCAACCTCCATCTGTCGTCCCACATACACACTCATTCAACCCTCACCTATCACACATGGAAACCGGAGCACCCGGAGGAAACATGCACAGACAGGGGGAGAACATGCAAACTCTACACAGAAAGGTCCTGGAGGTGGAATCGAACCTTCTTGCCGCCCCTACAAGTGAGACAAGACAACTACCAGGTCAAGTTATAGATCACATTTGAGGAGGGGTCCTTGGGCATCCCTGGTTTATATCAAATGATGATATAAATCAATATCATCATTTATATCTGCATTTAAACAAAAAAAAAGATAATGTTTTTAGGCATGTCTTCTCTGTATTACACAATTTTCTTAGATTATTTCCGATGTGACTCCATACGTGTATATATATATATATATATGTATGTATATATGTGTTTTTATTATATTCTTAATTATTATTTTGATGTTGTTTGTAATTGTTTTCCCATTGAGCTTTCATGTTGTTGTTGTGTGTGCGTGAGTGTTGTATAGTTCTGTGGCCCCTGTCATGATTTTCAACTCTTAAACTATTAATTGGCAGGGGGCAGTAACATGGCTTAACATCATATTAAAAGAAAACAACCACGTCATTTATTGCATTCTAAAAGTTAAGTATATTTTTTGTTCCCCGATAAAACATGCATTTAACATCCCTGTATTAGACTGAGAGAAACTGGAAAGCAGCGATAGCTTCATTACAAACATCAATCAAGTGAAGAAAAACTGTTCCCTCAAATTGCTTGAACCTTTGGAATTCATATTGACGTGTTGCGGAGGCCTTTGTGGGAGAAATTATTGACAGTTTTATTTTCTCTGCAATCAAATCACATCAGTAGCCATTGAGTACTGTATACGAGCCTATGCGCCTAACGACTTCCAAAGCTTTGACTTCCTATTGTAGAATCCTCGGCAAACAGTGCGATGCTTGAAATGGCTGATTTTCTGCATTTCTGATTTGTCGGCTTCCCTGTCCAACTCGCCTTGAGTCTCTAATTCTCTGTCAGTGTCTGTCTTCTTCACTCCTGTTGATTTATGGATATCTTTTATCAATTCTGAAAGCGAGGCTCATCTGTTCCGAACTTCCACTAGTCTCATATTATTCGGTGAAGTGCATGGATTGGGGGAGAATTAAGTGTATGTGTGTGTGTGTGTGTGTGTGTGTGTGTGTGTGTGTGTGTATGTGTGTGTGTGTGTGTGTGTGTGTGTGTGTGTGTGTGTGTGTGTGTGTGTGTGTGTGTGCGTGCATGTGGAGCCAGAGCCAGCCAGTGGATCAGCCTTCATATGATTTAATCAAAGCCATCCATCACATCTGGATAATTAGACAGCAGCGTAGATCGTAAACCTGAGCCTATTGCTTTAAGCTGTTTTCTCCTCGTGGAACATGTCACAGTGAAAAGAGAGACTCCTACATAGTGTTCACTGGGATGAAAAAGATTTGAGTTTAAAGAGGCAACACCAAAGAGCCGTTTAGGAGTTATAGTCCCGTTCATCTGTGGGTCAGCGGGTGACAGTCAATTAAGAATGAAATTCTCCGTACACTGCCTGATAATGATGCTGGAGGACTAAATGTCAACAAAAAGTTCAAACGATCTGTCAGTTATTTGAATAGATTTAAACAATTAAGTTAAAAATGGCATTTATACTGCCTTTGATAAGGGAAGTCAAGAGGTTCAGATTCTCCTCCGGGAAACTGGTTGAGTTTGGCAACATCAAGGATGCAGTGTAACATTGCAATTACATTTTGCTTATATCCTGCCTTTGTGATTGACAGGTTGGTGAATCTATATTCTATTGCAGTATAGCTTAGACTTTCTTGGCTCATGGTCAGTAGTTTTGGTAAAATCTCTATTGAAGAGGCTTTACATAGATTTCCTCCAATTATGATAATTACCATTCTGGAGATGATACACTGCATGCACAGATTAGCAGTAATCCTGCAAACTTGAATTTTAATTACATTAACTCTTAGTCACTCGCATCTCCCTATACACTTCTAATGATGACTCAAGTTTACATTGATTTGATGAGGGTGTGTGGGCTGGGATTTGTGGCCTCTCCTGGGGTTTTAAAATAACAAAGAATAATGAACGTGTGTATATCCTAATGAAAACCAGCCCACCATGTACACTTCTGTTGTACAGTATAAGACGAACAGTTTCACTAACGAAGTGTGCTTGTGTACTATCATTTTGATAATAGAACATGTTCAGCCTCAAGGCTGGTTATAGATTTTGTTGGGAAAAAAGGTGTTCTTTCTATAGTATAGTATAATAACAACTATAATGTTATAAGCATCTGACTGTTGCCAAGATACAGATAAATTCTGTCTTTGCTCTATAAAGTTCAAATATAGTTTACGTTAAAAGACACAATTATTCTTTATGTCTTGCTCAAGCAGACACAAATCAATCAAGACTCTCTAATAGGTCACTCTGCGACCAAACAAAGGTCTGGGAATTTGTCTTGGCAAAAACAAAAGAAATATGAATAACATGTGTTCTGATAAAATCTTTCATATCATTTTATTATCATTGACATTCACCTCCTATTTTAGGATATTAACGATGTGAAACATTTACTGTTTGTATTGAATGAGAAAAAAATGGGTTTTGCAAATATGCAAAATGACTTGGAAGAGTTTCATAACATTAATTGGGTAATAGTTAAACATAATGCTTCATTATAAATTTTCCATAAATGTTGTAGAAGCGAGTTTACAGCTTTGGTCTGGAAGTGCCTCAATATTTTGCTTCTGTTTAGTTGGTCATCTTTCGAAGGTTGTCCGTCTTCATGTGTGACTATGCTGCTAATCTGTAAACTTTGGACCAACCTTATAACACACTAAATCACTATATCATATCAAATCTTTACTATGCTGTCAAATAATCACAATATTCTTATGTGCTTATTTGCAATAATGTCATTGAGTTAATCTCAATTAATTGCAATTTTTTCCCTATTCTAAATTACTTGTGATTACTGATGGTGCCCGGAAATCATCAGTGAGCGTGACTGCTTTTGTTCTCTCCAACATCTGCTGTACCTACAGTACACACCGCACACGTCTGTAAAAGCAGAAAGGCTCACGCAGCGTCATTTAAGTGAGACGCTTCTCAGCCCAAAATATAAACCACACATATTTTTGCAGTGCTGTGACTGAACAAATACATATAGACTTTGTGTGAATAGTTATTGACACTAGATGGACTTCAACACATGTATAATACAACAGCAAACACCTTTTGCTGCTGTATATCAGTCCTCTGCCTGCACCATCTTCTACACTTCTCCATAGACTTTACAGGAGCAGCAGCAGGAGTCGCAAGCCTATTTTGTTTTGTTTCCGGCCTAGCTACAGCTACATCCAAAATGTGTTTTATTCTTTTTGAATTCTTACTTTTTCTATACTAGTTGTTGCAACGGCATGTGAGAATAACTACAATGTGTGCTAGGGCAAAAAGAATAATTGTTTAATAGAAATATAATTGTTCAATAGAATTGATGTTAAACCTTGTTAATAACCCCGACAGCTCAAGTTTAAATTATATTTTTAGCATTGTTCTACTTTTACATGAATTGTGTTGACGCTTGTGTACTGTATATCTTTAAGCTTACACTACATTGACTCAGTTCAGTTCAAGCTTATGATGAATGTTCTGAATCCAATGTCAATTCCAACCATTTCAAAGTCACACATGAGATTATAAAGTATATTGTTGCTACCAGGGCAAGAGCACAATAATTAAATGGAATGAATGTATGTTGCAGCCCGTGATGCTGAGTGATTGATGGATGTTCTAAATGTGGCCTTTATATTATAGAGCTGTAGTGAAAATAGCCTTGTTGTGGTGAATAAGGAAAACAATGTTAGATTAAAAAAATATGTTAGTAGACCATCTGTCTTACTACTGAGGCTTTGCAGCATGCATCTCAGGTGTGAAAGAACAAATACATTTTAAATGTTTGCCCTTTTCCAATCTTAAGCGTTAATGTTGAATTATTACTTCCAACACTGTTCAGGACACTTACTGTATATCAGCTACAGTGGCACTAATTACATCACAAAAAATAGACCATTTTATATTCTATAAAATAAATGGATCTCAGAAGTCCTGTGAGTGACAGGGCACTTTGGAAAACTCTCGGCTTCATATTCTGGTGTTATCAGTGCGCTGTGACACCATAAGCCCTGCTGCCTTCATTACCCCTCTTTCAGGTGGTAATAATGGGTTTGGAAACACAAGACAAAGGCATGAATATAATATACATTGGAAATTATATTATATATAGCAGCTCAAAATCTATCTCAAATATATCTAAGTTTTGCTGCCAATGCTACATTATTGTCCCTTCTTTGACCAGAAGAGTAGCTCTGAGATTTGTGTGTATTTATGTATCTTTTTATTTTATTTTTTATTTGATGGACAATTGTACACAATCAACATGTGAAACACTACAACATTTATAGCCAGGCTAACATATATTTATTTATTGTATTTATTCATTTGGAACACAGTGAAGCGCTTTGGGTGACCTTGGTTTGTAAAAATATGTTATATAAATAAAGATTACTTACTTACTTATATACTTAAAGCCGAGGCATTATATAACATAAATTATTATAATGGTTCAAAACTACTATCACTCCTTTGGTAATTTAACAGCGAGTCAGACCAAAACAATACTTACTTTAAATACTTTTAATGTCATTGACGACTCTGTTCTTAGGCCGCATTCAGACCGCTGACGCTGGAAAGCACTTTCCATGCACACTAGACGCAAATTCTCTGAATTTCAGACGCTAGGGGTGTTCAGACCAGAAGTCCTAGGCTGCGGTGGCACCCGGCTGCGGTGGTGCCCGGCTGCGGTGGTGCCCGGCTGCGGTGGCACCCGGCTGCGGTGGGGCCCGGCTGCGGTGGTGCCCGGCTGCGGTGGTGCCCGGCTGCGGTGGTGCCCGGCTGCGGTGGTGCCCGGCTGCGGTGGTGCCCGGCTGCGGTGGCGCCCGGCTGCGGTGGCACCCGGCTGCGGTGGTGCCCGGCTGCGGTGGCACCCGGCGGAAGTAGAGGAAGTGCTTTGATGCTAACAGAGTTAAGCTAGCGGCTTTTTGTGTAAAGTTCTTCTCCAATAATGCAGCTCTGCAGCCTCTCTGTGTCCAGGAACCTTCCAGAGACTTTTTATTCAGTATTTGTTCACGGAGGTGCTCCATACGTTTATTTTTTATTATTAGACGGTACTTCCGCATCGGCGAACATGCTATCTGCGCTAGTGTATTGTCACTGGAGAATGACAACTAAGGCTGGAGGCATATGTTCACAAGCACAGAGTCCCTCATTGTCAATCCTGGTTTAGTCCTGGTTTAGCTCCTGTTTTTGCTGTTTACGAGTATTTTCATTCTGCTCGCTAGGCCGCTAATGTCCCCGTGACCATTTTGTCGCTCTCTGATTGGTTGCTTCACGAGCGTTCCGAGGAAAAAGTTCAGCAATGTTTACCTCCTGCGTGCGTCGATTTCCGCTCCTGCGCCTTTGCCGCGCAGTCCGTGCGTCTTTACCGCGCAGTCTGTGCGTGCATCCCGAGACGCACATACAGTTCCACGCTCGAACGCGCGCTCCAAGTAACTTTGCATTGAAAGTCGCAGCAAGGCATGATCCTGTCTGAACGCGGCTTTATTCTTACCATATGAACTCTGCAGGAAAGAGAGTTTTCTTCTGCTACATCTTTATCAAAAAACTTGGTGAAAGTATGTTTAACTTCTCTTCCATGATCACACAGTGTGCTTGAGAGGCGTGAGATAAGATGAAATTAGAATGTTGCCGTTGTCCAAAAGCAGAAGTGACATTACTCACAGACGGCTGGGTGCTGAGTCTGTTAAATGATAATGACATTTGATTAAAACTGTGGCAAATGTGATCCCGTCTTTCTGAACGAAGCCATGAACCTGTTACAAAGCAATATAGCAGAAGTGAGACAGCGGGAGGACAAGGTAATGCCGGAGAGCCATGTTTCATAAGGTGATGGAGTTTTCTTATGAACACATCACAGACTTGCAGCAAAATGTTAACCTTTACAGTAACTACGTCCATATTATCCCTTTGTCATTGCGTTGCCTTTGCCAGCCGCATCATGTCATTTAAGTGATGGAGTCTAGTGAGAGTTCTTGGGTTTTGCTTGTAATAGCTTTAGCACTTGGGATAATGGTTTGTAATGCACTGGCGGCCGCTCTGTGATGGCCAGTGGACACACTTTACAAGAGCAGAGCACCAATGAACTGGACGTGTAATGAGTGCAGGGGAAAACAGAAGTGACATTGAAAATAGAAATCCAGACTCGGGGTGTTTGCGGTTCCAAACATAACCCTGTCGACCTTTTGTGTTTGTGAAAATCTAGTGCTTAAACTAGCACTTTATTTCACAAACAACCATTTTGTAGAAAATGTAATTGGATTCAAAATAATTGTCACATGTGGGGCTGAGAAATGAATGAGACATTTGTAATTGTTAATTATTTATAGTTTAATTAGAAGAGACTCAGACAAAGTACGCATACGAAATATGGTTACTGAGTTATGTTTGCATGAAGTAAACTGGTTGCTGTGTGATTTGGAAAAAATACCCATCAGAAAAATTCTATGTTATATATAGGAGGAACTATAAATAGTGGTTATGAAGATGAAATTCCCTCGAGGTTTAGAACTTGTTGGCAGTGGAAAATGAAGTGATGAGCCACTGATATTATGGAGGAAAGACTCACTGTTTAAGTGGTGATGGGGAAGAGAGGGGTTGCAGAACGAGCTTATAATGATACTAGTATTCCAGTCTAAGCTCGCTTCATTGCGGTGAAATATTCTGTCAATGTTAAATAGCTTTTATTACATACATTAAGATTAGGGATGTGCATTGTCTTGTAATTGCATCATGTATTAAACATAGGTCACATGGTCTAAAATTGATTTGATGAGATTTCTCAGATGTACATTTGTGTGGCGCTTTAGTACCATTTAGCACATGCACAAAAGCAAAGAAGAAATTCAATGAAATAATACAAATTATGATTAAAAATGCTTTACTGAACAACAAAACTAGATTATCTGTGCATGCAAACTGTGCCACCACAATGACTTAAAGCACTCATTGAAAACTTGTTTCATGTGAATATCCACCATTGTGTAGAGATGGTACATTGCTTTACCGATTGCAGACTTTTTAGCATAATCTTATCAACATGCATTATGCACTATGACTTGGGACTCCTACATTTTTCCTCCTCCTCCTCGATGAATTATAAACGAAACCCATATGTATGGCCTTGTAAATCTAGATCACCAACTGTGTGCTGATGGAGGCTTGCTGGCCCAGAATGCCCCAGGGCTTTCGAGGCGGGCGGGCAGCTGAATGTGAGGTCCACCACTTTTTGTTGTTTTATGTTTGTTTCAGAGACTTCCAGAGATCCATATGTTCCCTCAAACTTATGTCATCCCTTGATCATAACATTTCACCTTGCATAATCCAGTAAACTCAAGGTCTACAACACTTACATGTCTTTTAGCGAGCCCCAGCCAGAAATTGCTATTCGATTCCAAAAGGAGCCCTCCACCGTAGACTACTTTTCTATTCTGAATTCTTAATACCTGTTGGTGAATGTGTGTGCTGTCAAAATCATATTCAGAAAGTGGTGACTTTTTATTGCCCTGGCTCTGTGAGGGCCTCAGTATTTTTCCCTCATTAGCGATGCATTAATGAGACCAACCACTGACCTTGGCACATTCACTCCACTAGTGTGTTTCTCATCATTAGTCTTTTTCAAGCCTTTGTGAATGTAGCGAAAATGCATGTTAAGTCTAACTGCTGTGTCTTGGATATGATTCGGTATCTAAAGACTTCTTGTTTTGCCTACTATGACTCTGATTCAGCTGTGATGCCCCATATGCCACAGACACTGAAGATATTTAATAAGAATTCCCACCACTTAACAGAGCCTGAAAAGTTTCCTAAATAGTGCAACTTGTTAACAAAAGATTTTTCCCTTTGTTACATTTTTTCCGCATTACTTCGGGGAGGACAAATAATTGTTGCAGATGGTTTTAATACATGTTAACACAATACAGTGGTCCCTCGCTTATTCTGAAAAATATGTTTGTTACATTTTCTGTTACATTCTAAAAAATTACCAGCAATAAGCAAAATCTGCAAAGTAGTAGTTATATGTATTAAGGCTGATATCTAACCTGTTTGTTGTGGGTCTGAGTGCTGCTGCAGCTGTCAAAGGCCGTGCACAGTAAAATACAGGAGCAGGACTGAGGGCTTCGTGATTCACACATGGTGATGACGGACGCGAGACACCGAATACACTGGTGCATCAAAGCCTCCGACCAAACACCATCCATTCACTCAATCATACCTAATGTACATGTTTATAGTGGTAGGGGAAACTGGAGCACTTGAAGAAACCTACGCAGGCACGGGGAGAACATGTAAACTCCACTCAGAAAGGCCCGGGATTTGAACTTAGGACCTTCTTCCTGAAATGCAAGAGTGAACTCAGCCATCGTGCCGCTCCTCAATTAAACACATGATGAACCCCGTTAAAGCGGGAGACCACTATACTACGCTTGTTGAATATTTTCTAATTTACTGTTTTGAAAAAGGTTATATTTTCTGTCTTTGCTTGTGACCTAATACCGATGGTGGAAATAGACCTTGTTTGTTCAGGCGTGAGGCCACTTGCATTTCTGTGTCAATGGCTCAAGTGGTTTCAGTGTTCTCATGTTTGGAGTCCCATGCCTGGAGTGATCAGGCCTTGACATGATTGTGTCGGCAGTGTAGATGAGAGTTGCTTTTTGTTTGTGGATATGTGCTCAGAAATTCATTTTGACGGAGCAGTCTCGGTGCAGATCTATGGAAGCATATAAGGACGCAGCGAACGGCCATAGGAGACACTGGAGCTTAAGGTTTGTGTTTTTGTGGATGTGGACGATACTGGTTATGTTTACAAATGACAATGTTTGTGTTCATGATTGATTGTAAATAATCATGTGACATTCTCCTGTATTCTGGATTCTGAAAAAAATTTAATTGTACCTTTGATGCTGGATCCAGGTGGTTCTTTCTCCCTGCTCAACTTGTCCTTATGCCCACTTTATGCTGGGAATGGATGGATGGATGGATGGACAACTCATTTAAATGTACTTCCCGCATAATTAACACATAATACAGTGGTCTGTGACAAAATCAGGTGTGAATCGGACATGGACATTCATCAAAACTCATGGACATTGGTCATCTGCACCTTATGGACCAATGCCAATGTTTTTTCTGTTTTATTTCTTGTGTTTGAACGGTTTGATTCTCTGATCTGTGTTGGTAAATTCAACGGTTGTGTAAAGTCCTCCGAGATAACTACTGTTGTCATTTAGGGCTATACAAGAATAAATTGGATTGAATGTAATTGAATTGAATTGAATTGAACTATAATCGTCACCAATAATCACGTTAAGGTCATGCTTTTACATGCTAAGCAAAGCAATAACATCTCCATGTAGTCAAGCATTGAACGATTTATTCCAAATGTGCATATAAAGCAATAACATTATTGTTTGATTTTGTTAAAAATCAACATTTCCTTTGTAATTCAGATCAATTGGACAAAATTGATGTTGGTGTTTTCATTATTCAACACATTAAAAAAACTACTTTTTCATCAACTTTCTACTATTTTAAATCACGCGGGTGAAACATGAAAGTGCGAAGTGGAAAGATGTGGTGCTGTTGGGAGGAGAAGGGCAGCTCAAATCAGTCGTTGCATTTCTGCGGATGAACAATGATTGCTTAAGAGTGTCTAAAGTATGATCAGACGAGCTGAGAGGAAAAAGAGCCGGAAGATGAGACTGTGGAGTCTTCTTATAATCAACACTTGAGCTGCTTTTAGATAATTCACTTCAGTAAACAGGATGCCAGAGCTGCTATTCTGATTGAACCCATTTCACAAACATAGTCTACATGATGTTATCAAAACAATTGTTGTGACATAATGTGACATAAACAGATAATCACATGAAAGAAGGAAAAAAGAATGCAGAAATATTACTACTCAAAAGTATGCGTTAGAGCAAAAAGAATTGTTGGAATATGGGTATTGTTGTTAGTCTGTGTGGAGTCATACAGGTTTTATAGTAGCAATGCTGAGCCATTTGTTTAAGTTATTACCTCGGCCTAGGGGCAAAGTGATCATCAGCGTTTGTCTGTTGTCTTGTTTGTTTTTTCAGAGAGAAATATTAAAAAGTTATGAAAGGAACTGGATGAGATTTTCAGGAAACATGAGCAATGGTGTTGATCGGGGGATTACATTTTGGAGGTGATCTAAATGAACGGATGCAGGAATAAAACAGTATCTTTCAACAGAGGTCTTTGTGTTATAAAATGTGTTGTGTAACTGTGGCTGCAGACCAAAAGAGACCGTGTGTGGAGAAAGATGCATTTCTCAGAGTTCAGAAAGTTTGTGTCGTTCCTCCATTTTGAAAACCACGTAACATAGACCTACTAGATTTGAGATCACATGATTAAACACAGGTTAGGTGCTTTTATTGGATTTTTATTATCCATCATGAATCAAAATCCCGATCTGAAGCCCTTCTCCCGTGGCCCTGTCAGAAGTGATCCACCGCCTGAGACCTTTTCAAAATG